GCTGCCATCTTACTCACATTTCCCCTAAGTGCTAAGCAAAGTGGGCTTCTGCTGTCCCCTCTGTCCCCACATTGGTCTGTCTGGAGAACAGTTTGATCTCCCAAAAATCAGCAGTAGCATGGCTTCTCCATGACTTTTCCCAACTCCTTAGATTTTCCATGCAGAGTTTTGGTTGTGTGTGTGTGTGTGTGTGTGTGTGTGTGCCTTTTTGAGACAGGGTCTCACTATGCACTTCAAGTTGGCCTTGAGCTCACTTTGTAGCCCAGGCTGGCCTTGAACTCACAACAATCCTCCCACCTCAGCCTCCCAAGTGCTGGGATTATAGGCGTGCGCCACCACGTCCGGCTTCCATGCAGAGCTGAATCATCCATGCCCTCTGCACACTCCCACTGACTCTTCAAAGGCTACGTCATGGCACCTATAACCTGTTATTGCTCTTTTCTTTCATGCTTGTCTCTATGAGACTGCCAGTTCCAGGAGGGCAAGGACCAAGACTCATTCATGTCTATATATTGTGCCTAGTACCCTGTAGATGCCCAATAAGTGCTTGTGGAAGAGAGGCATGACCATGAGCTATCGCCTTCTTGGGATTACTGACCTGCTGCCCATTGTAAGTGGTGGTGTCTGTGGTAACTGTAGCACTGAGGGGTCCGGTCACAGGAGCCTGGTAGTGAAGGACAGGCTTTCTCCCGGTACCCCCGAGGAGTCCCATGCCAAAGGGACACAGTAAGGGAGGCAAGACATTTATAGGCTGTGCTGTGGGTCAAGCCCTAAGATTAAGGAAGCATATAAAAATAAACACTTGCGTAGAATATGGTTACGGAGGCTCAGACGAGTGTGGAGCAGGGAAGCGTGGGGAAAGGTCAATCAATAGGCACCGAGTTTTAGTTAGACAAATAGGTTCTCAGCTTACATGATAGGGTAACCATAGGCAATGATAATGAGCTGTATATTTCAAAAAAGCTACGAGAAAGGAATTTGAATGTTTTCACTACAAAGAACTGATGAGAAGACCAGATACGCTTACTCACCTTTGAGAATTACACAACGTCTACGTATGTGGGGACATCACGTGGTGCTCACCCAAAATACGTATAATTTTCATAGGTCAATAAAGAAAGAGATATTTTGCTGAGGCCTCAAGAACAGTGAGGAGCGCTAGAAAGAGGCCTCCAGGGCCAGGCTCTGGGAGCACAGCAAAAGGGTACAAGTACGAATCAAGCAGTCTTTCTCTGTACAGCTGATATAGACGCATCCTGTGGGGAAACTACTTTAAGGACAGCCAGGTGTGGTGATGCACACCTGTAATCCCAGCACTCAGGAGGCTGAGGCAGGAGGATTGCTGAGAGTTCA